ACTTCTGGACAGACTTAACCGGACAATCGACACCCTAAACTGCCTCCCACCGGAGCAGTTCGGGTTTCGACAACAACACAACACGACCCTAGCAGTAGCGAAGGTGGCTCAAGATGCCTCAATCTCCTTCAATAACCACGAAAGCACCTTCCTGCTGCTACTAGACATCGAGAAGGCCTTTGATAAGGTGTGGCACAAGGGCCTAATCCACAAATTAATGTACAAACACAATTCACCACTACACTTTACATCGCTCATTGTGTCATACCTTAGCGACAGGACCTTCAAAATCAAAACAGAATCTGGTCGGGGATTCTAAAATCACGATTCGACATACGATTCGACAACGAGACGATTTTTCCGACGATTCTAGGTTAGAAATCTCATTGGAATTATAGCTTTCGACACGACAAGGCCGGTATCGTTGTCGAGTCGTGTGTCGAAACGTGATTTTAGAATCTCGGCCCTGCACACTCACAAACTAAGACAATTAGAGCGGGAGTACCTCAAGGCACGGTACTATCCCCAACTCTATTTAACTTATACATTGCAGACATACCGAAAACTTACAACACTGACATAATGATGTACGCAGACGACACGGCTATCTACACCAGTGCCTTTTTCGCAGAAGACGCGAGAAAAGCTCTGGTGGACCATCTTAGCCAAATAATCCCCTACCTACAAGACTGGAAAATTACTCTGAACTCTTCAAAAACTGAACTACTAACACTAACCGGAAAACGGACAAACATTACAATTGAACCACCCTTAACTATCAACAACGTAGAAATACAAAACAAAACAACAGCGAAATACCTGGGGGTGGTCCTTGACAAAGGCCTCTATGGCCACTCCCAGGTGACAAACACCTTACGCAAGGCGTATGGGGCTGAACGACTTCTGGCACCAATCATGAAATCAAACTCATACCTCAGTCCCAGAAACCGCATACATATTTACAAAACCATTATACGACCAACCTTACTTTACACTGCCCCCGCATGGAACTATATCAGCAACTCTCAAAAACTCATACTGCAACGATACCAGAACAGGATACTCAAGACAGCACTTTCACTCCCCATGGACACCCGTACAGTTGAAGTACATAAACTCGCTGAAATCGACACCTTTCTAGAGTACTTCAACGAGGTGTCCATGAAATTCTTCGCTAAAACCATCCACGGACCTGCACTGACCAGAGGCCTAGCCACCCTCAGACATGACCCCCAAAACCCAGTAACGCATCGGCCCATACACCACCGACTGCCAATCTACTACCAGACAACGCGACCAGGATAGCAGAAAATGCAAAACAATTCAGAGCCAAACGGTAAAATAGCGCAAGGATGTGCGAAAACTAACTTCGCACATTCTTGAGCAACCGACACACAGATATCAGCAAACACGCACAGAAACTAAACCGGGCCAGCCCGCTCAACCTCAAATGCTCTCTGGTGTCCTGATACATGCACTACGCGACCGACGATAATTTTCACATAAACGAGAAGAAGGGTTTTTATAACTGGTTTTCCGTTCAACAAATCACGATAACTACGGAATGACATACAGGACTATAATTTGACATAACCGCTTTTAAGTTGGAACTGGAATTAGCCTATAAGGGGCACAAAAAGACTCAGGAAAGAGCTAGAAAAGTCCTGGTTGCCACTACCACCCCTGCTTATGAATAGATTTGTTAGTCTTTTTAAGTAATAAGTAGGTTAAGGTAGTTTTAAGATTATGATGTAAATATTGTAAATAAATTGACTATTGATTGATTGCTGCTACTAACTTTAAATGAGCCTTTAGACTTTAGAGGATATAAAATTCAAAATAAGCTCAAAGCAAATTTTCCCATGTTTCTAGGAGCAAAATTAAGCATTTTAACTTATTCATGGCGCTCTAGATTAAAAAGTAAAAATTTAAATAATTTGGAGGTGAAATGTCAAAAAGTGACAAATGAGGTGTAATTGTACTCGTAATGTAGTTTTCTATTGAAATGAGGAAAAATTTACCTGGCGTCTCATTTAAAATAAGGAAGTTAGGGTCACTTCCGGTCAAACCGGAAGTGATAGTAAAAAATTGAATACGTCAAATAATGCACATCCGGGTCATAAATAAACACACCAAATTTCATTTGTTTATTTGAAAAAATAAAAAAGTTATAGGGGTGAGCGGGTTTTGAAAAACACCCGGTATGTATATTTCATTTGTAATGTATATTGTACCTATAAACCTGGAAGCATTATCAATTTTAATAAACTCTTAAACAAAATTAAATGGTATATATGTTGTTATTTTCTCAGGGCCAAGCAAATTCGAAATTGCTACATTCTGTGTTTAGCACAAAATTATAGGAGACGCCCCAATAAAAACCGAAAATTCAGGTAAATGGGTTCTAGGAAATGGCACAATTTTAGTTAATTAGGTACATTCCAGCTATATATTTTTAAATAAATAATAGTTATTTGTTTTACTAGGCAGAAAAGTACAAGATTTAATGCCGCGGCTGGTGTTTCATAGCCGAGGCTAGGAAACCAGCCGAGGCATTAAATCTGCTTTTTTGCCATGTAAAACCAAAGGTAAAACATATAATTTTTTCTCCGAATGTTCAAATTCATACATGGACATCTTTTTTATATTTATTTCATTCATTATTATAATATCCAAATAATTAAATTATTTTGACAATTATCGTTGTCAACATAAATTTCAAATAGATACCAAATTGAGTGAAATTATTATCTGGAACGTTGTGACACTGTCACTTTTAATGCCTAGGCAGTAAAAGTCCACTTTTACTGCCTAGCACATTGACTGCCAAGGCCAAATCCTGAATTATTCGCTGGGGGCCAAAGTTGTATTTTCGTATTTTTTGGCTTTTCTTTTATTTTACAGTGAAAATTTACTTATAATTTTGTTTGTTTTTTATTTTTTTGGCTTTTTTGCATTTTTTGTTGTGTCATTCATATATGAATGACGCGGCCCCCTGGAAAACTTTGACGAAATTTGTTCGCAGTGGCCACGTCATTCATGGCGACGAGGAGTGTCTTTACTTCTAGATTCCTATCGAAAATGAGTAAAAATATGGCTGCGGGACCTCTATTGTCGCCACTGTAGTTGGAAAAGGTTTATTCAGTCACTTTGGTTTCATCTAGCTAATTACAGAGATTTGTTTTTTTATTTTCTTTTCTTGATAAGGGTCGGTGATACGAAGTAACTACAAGAGAACAAAAAGTTTCTAAATAAGGTAGAAAAATTATTTTGTTTCTTAGAATCGACCAGTGACGCACCGCGAAAAAGTTCAGGGGCAGAAAAGGGGAATGACCCCTGAAAAAACATCACCCTGTAGATTCTAGCAAACGCTTGATATGTGCAATCATTCAGCTCTTATTAGGTAACCTTTATTCCAAATTTGAGCTAAATCCCTGAAAAATTGCAGGAGCTACAGAGAAAAAACTAAAAAAATATTAAAATTTCAACACCCTGTAGATCGGTAACGTAGCGTTTGCGGACCTATGTTTATTAGAAATTTTAGTCATAAAATAAACCAAAGAATTACCCCCTTTCGTTTGTACATGATATTTAGGAACACTCTATCAGAAAGAATTAGTTTTTTTTTTGTTTGACAGTTTTTAACCTAAAATTATACCTATTTTAAGTAAATTTTTGGTTTTATTCGTCTTGGACCATAACCCAACAAAATTTGCTCTGGCCAAGTTTACCTTGTGAATCCCCAGGAGCCACGCAAATATATCTCCATTTAAAATACACAGGCTGTCATACATGAGTGTATGACATGGCCTAGAAGTGAAACTGAACCGTCATACAATTATGAATGACGCGGCCGGAACGGAAGTGGCCGTGTCATTCATATATGTATGACGTGGCAGTCAATGTGCTAGGCATTAAAAATACGACTTTTGATCCTGTCAAGTGTCATTAAAAGGCCGCTTTTACTGTCATTCGGGGAAAAAATAGAATTACACTTTGTTTACATTTCAAAAATAAGGTTAAATTCATAGAGAATCGAGCGAGATCGATGGTTTATCGATATCGAATTCTTGAGAGTTGAGAACACAATTCGTAGAGAAATTTCATGAAATCAGCAACCGCATGGCAACACTTGAAGAAAGCAGCCAATAGAAAATCTAGGCGCGCGACGTCACCATCCTATGAATTCTGAATTTCAATTAAAAAATTTAAGGCCTTTGCCGGTACCAAAATAATCCGAAAAAAATATTTCTGGACTTTATTTTGAATACCCTTTCAGATAAGCAAATAAAAAAAAACGTGGGAAGACCCATTGACCAACTCTTGTAATCTAAAACCTTGTTTAGCTAGAGTAGACCCAGCAGACGACGGACGAGACGGTTGCTGATAATGATTTCTGATTTCTTATTATCAACTGGGGTAGGTATATATTTTTTGGTATCAATTCCACTCAGCCAACATCCTTTTCGGCAATTTAAATTAACTGCGAAATTATTAATCAAAGTATTCGGTCCTCTTTTTCAATTCTAGAAATAATCTTACAGGGCATGCACTAACGAGTTGCTGTTTCCAATGATCAAGCTGGTGCTCACTCCCTCTGGCCCACATTGAGTTGTCTTGGGAAATATGTCCATAAAATTCTATTCGTCCGTAGACGTAAAAATAATTCTTCCATGATACCTACAAAACTTTTTCGAAAATATTCAAGTTTACAGTTTACGTGTTCATTGATTCTTCGACCAAGTTCAAGCACAGGTGAATAACTTATTTTATATTTCGGATTGTCCTCTAATAACTGCCTCAAATCTCTTTTTCAACCCATTTTATGCAAATGAATCTGAGATCAAGTTTAACTGAGGAATAAAAATAATCGAGCGTTTACCTGGGATGAAGAAACCGGCACTAAGACTACCTATTTATTTATCGCAAAAGGAAGTAGGTATCAGTGTTATTTATCAAATGTTTAAAGTAATAGTTCGAAAAACAATTAAAATACTTACGACTTGTCTATATTTCAAATTCTTTTCACTGCCTTCTCCGCTGACATCCTCGTTTCCGCCTACAGATAAAAGAACCTTCAGTTTTGGGTATTTGATTTTCAAATCTGTCACGTGTCTGTAATTGTCCTTAATGACATCAAACTGTTCGTTAAGTGGAACCAATTTGAGGGTATCCTCTTTGATTGCTGCATATCCGTACAACAAATGGGTGCAGTATTGTAGAGCCGGTTCCAAAAATGATAATTCGAATTTTCCTTGCCCTGAAAGATAAAGTACACATTTGTAAGATACTTGTGCCTAAAAAATCGTTGAAAAAGATTCATAAATTGTTATTCTATCAGTTTTTTGGCAAAAATAACATAAGTATAAAATTCGATATTATAGAAGCCTTTGCTGTCCTTTTTTGCATTGAAAATGTGATATTTACTCTCACACTTTAGGTTGTGAAGTAAGTTAGGTACTCTAGACATAGGTACCTACTAGGGCGTAAAGTGCTGATACAATTTTTTTTTTTTAAATTTATGTCTTTATATTGTCAGTGGTAGAAACAATTTTGTATGTAACATGTGTGTAAGGCCCCTTTTTTCACTCATGTTATTGCGTCACAATTCACATCCGTGAAAAAGGGTTCACTTTACACACTTGTTGCGTAAAGCATAAATAGCTATTTAGGTCTCTCAGTTTAATTTATCTGTTTATTATTCAATGAGTTTTGTCCTTGACCTTCGTTAAAAATGAGATCAACTTCTTTTTTTAGATCGTTTAAACAAGATCAGCTTGTTCGTTGTGCGGTAGACGTAATTGGTTAATTGTGTTTATTTTGCATTATTTATTGCTTCTATTTGCATAGGAAAACAAACCTCTTAGGTGATTAAATCATTCGTTGTTGCGTAATAAATTAAACATAAAATTTCGATTGAAATTGACCATGGGGATTTTTTGCTCATTTTATGGATAAATGCCACCTAAAATGTTATTTATACATCTAGTATCTCTTCTGGGTCAAGTTGATTCGCATTTTTCTTACAAGAAATATTCTCATATCTCAATAATAATAACAATTTGTAATTTAAAGGGAAAAAGAATTTGTTTAGGTCATAGAGAATTTCTCCTGCATACCCAGGAATATTTAATTCAATTAGGAAAATGTGAGCATAATGTGATGATCTTTTATCTACTTAAAATATTGGAAGCCGATTCGTCTGAGAGAAGGTTTTCAAGTCAATGGACAAAAAGCTGATTTTGAAAAAAAAATTAAGCCGAGACAGAAGTAAGTTGCTGATCTATCGCATTTGGATGAAAATCAGAAAGAAAATATAGATCCTTTAGGAGAACGCCAAGAAAAATATATTGAAATTCAAGTAAAATCTGATAATGTTGGTGTACGAAATGAAAAACTGCGATTCAGATGATGATTTACCTTTAAGTGGTATGTAAAAAATTAAGTTAACAGGAAAAGAAACCAGGAAAAACCCAGAAACAAAAAAATCGAGTAAATCAAATCGCATATGGAAAAATTCATTATTCCAAAAATGCTGATAACTGTGATAAAAGCCAAAAGGCAAATTTTTTCGGTTTCTGATTATATTATATTGTATTTCGATAACAATACATTATTTGACAATACTTTTCAGATCGTCAGCCAAACTGCGAATGCGAAATATATGCTACTACACAGCAAGCCGCTAAGCTCAACATCTTTTACATTTTTAAACTTTTTCTCTTGGTCTAGGTTGTCATTCTGCCATCTCATTTTGCGAATGAATGCAGCACAGGAGTGAACCGTGAACCACGACTCGAGGACCAAGAGCTAAAGGAACTTTATGAAGAGGTAACACAGTGTCTTCACGAGAACAAAACCAGGTACGCACTAGTTATGGGAGATTTAAATGTAATAATGAGCCAGGATGACACCGACTCATGCTACATTGGCAAATTTGGACATGGTACAAGAAATGGAACAGGCAACATGCTAATCAACTTCTTAGAAAGACAGCCACTCTTTGCGATTAAAACACATTCTTCAAAAAGAGACCTAACAAAAAATGGGCAAGGACAAAAAACGAAATAGACTTTATAATGAGAAATCAAAAACACATAATTCAAGATTTAGATGTCTTCACGGCTCATTCACGATTGGCAGCGATCATAGAATGGTGAGATGTAAAATAGCCATGAATGCCAGATTATAAGGAGCAAAGAAATTCAACCGCTCCTATCAAAAGAAATTAAGCACACATACCAGTAAAACACAAAAAACAGAATTCGCAACAAGATTAACAAAAAAACTGGAGAAAGAGCCCATAAAAAAAGGTGCCTGAAACTGGTGCTGCTGCGGCGGCCGGGGCGTCTGTGTCGGAAGCGGCAGACCCCAGGGGGACTGAGACATGTCCCAAAGGAAAAGGCGAAGCTGCAATGGGTAAAAAGCCCAATAAAACCAGGGAACATAAAGGTCCTAGCAAGGAGCAATTATAATGGCTCCTTGCAAAGTGTTACAATTGAATCTGCAACACGCAAAAGCTGCATCAGACGTGCTTAGCTGCAGATTCAACTGGGAACAACTGGACATAGTCCTCATTCATGGACCCATGTTTCACGAATGAAAGGACTTCCAACAAAATCATGTAAGTTAATATACAATAATCAACATGAACAACCAAGGGCAGCAATAATGCTGAATAAGAAAATCAACTTTGCTCCTTTTCCAGAGTTCAATACAAGGAACTTGTCTGCAGGGGCTGTAGGGGCACCCACTTCATGGGGTAAGCAAGAGGTAGTAATTGCCTCGGCTTACTTCCCTGGAGACGACGAAACAAATCCACCCCAAGAGGATGTTAAACGACTCGTCAGCTACTGCGAAAGGATGAACAAACTCCTTATAATCGGTTGTGATGCCAACTCCCACCACACCATATTTGGCAGCACAAACATCAACAAGAGAGGTGAGTACCCTATTGAATATTTGTTCTTTAATGACTTAGACATTATCAACAATGGCAACAAACCCACCTTTGCAAACAGTGTGCGGCAAGAAGTGTTAGAATTAACCTTGGCAAGCACACACATATGCAACCAAATTAAAAACTGGCACGTCTCCAACGAAATCTCGATGTCGGATCATAAACATGAAGATTCGATAAAGAGGTCATAGAGACATGCCTTCTCGAGAATAGAAACCCAAGGCTGACTGGGGTCTATACAAAGACTTACTAAAAGCAGAAGTAACCGACTACCCCAACGCAATAGAAACAGAGGGTGAGTTAGAGTATATCATGAACGAAATAAACACTCTAATAATAACAGCCTATGAGAACAGCTGTCCTGTGAAACAAAGGGTCGTAGATAGAAAAACGCTCTGGTGGAACAGAATGCTCAGTTCCCTAAGAGCTGAAACAAGAAGGTTATTCAATAGGGCAAAACGCACCAACAACTGGGGCGAATACAGAACTGCCCTAACTGAATACAACAAGGAATTGAGAAGGTCTAAAAGGAAATCCTGGAGGAATTTCTGTGAGGAGATTACTGACATCCCTCAGACAATGCGACTCCAGAAAGTCCTTACACTCAAACGACATTGGACTACTGCAAAAACCTGATGGCAGTTACACAGAGAGTAGATTAGAGAGTGTGAAACTTCTCCTACAATCGCACTTCCCAGACTCTGTAGAATGTGAGCTAAACGGCAACAGACCTTCGGTAGCTAAGGGCGTCTCACGCCCAAGCAACCGAACAAAAAGTCTGGCCAGAAAAATATTCACCTCAAATAAAATAAGATGGATTATAAACAATTTTCTGCCCTACAAATCACCAGGAGAAGACAGAATTTTTCCAGCACTCCTACAAAAAGGCTTAGAAGAACTTATAACTTCACTAGCAATAATATTCAAAGCTAGCTACCTACTTTAGGTTACATTCCCACGAGCTGGCGGGAAGTAAATGTGCCACTCAAAAAAATCTTGATCATAATATCAATGAACTGCTTTCATCAATTACATTTTCATTGATTCAGTGAAAGTTTCATTAATCCCAAGTACAGAAAACTGTAAGTATTATGATTTCATGAACAGCTATCATTAAAATAAAGAATGAAGCTTCATTAAGTTATGAATAGTCATCTACATGAATCTATGTTGAATAGTGCATCAATTACAAGAACTAAGTTCATTGATATTATGAAATTAAACCTTGATATTAAAGAAAATTTCTTTGATGGGAGCTTCCACGGAATATTCATTATATAAATGAATATTAACATGAATAATATGAATATGGTTCATATAGCCTTACTAGAAACTTATCCTTTTAAGAACGAAATTCATTGATACAATGTACGGTTCATTTAAAACAAGCAAATATTCCTAGAAACAAAGCTGCAACCATTACATCAAGATAAATCATAAATACAATGAAACAGTTCATAGCATTAATGTAGAAAGTTCCTAAGCACATGCGCAAAGGTAGCTGCAGTCGGGCAACGACATAGAAAAATATGTTGAAATAGGAATAATTAAATTTCTATTTTCTGGGTGCATTGCTACGTACTTCGTTCAAGTCGGTTTTTTCGGTTTTGTGTTGTTCGAAGTATTAAATAGAAAGTCGGTTATACCTGTCGCCGGTTTTTTCTAAAGGTAAGTTGTATACCTCTTATTACCTCTATAATATGTATACCTATTATGTAGGTAGGACTTTGATGCCTTGCACGGAGACGGTCTAGTCTCAAAATGGGAATGCGAAAGAAATGACCTACAGATTTAAATGTCATCCGGGGAGAACGTGAAAGACAAAAGCGTCAAGAGCTCCTCAGAATTTCTAAGGAATACTGAAGTCTCTAAAAGTAAGTATACCCAATCTCAAATCAAGTTGTAATTTTTTTCATCGATATATTTTTGTTAAATGGTTTTGTTTCACTAGGTAGAAAAGCAGAAGATTCAATGCCGCAGCTAGTGTTTCATAGCCGAGGCAAGGAAACCAGCCAAGGCATCAAATCTCATTTTCTGATGTGGCTTGTTTTAGAAACTTTGGATGTTGATAGTTCAAAAACAGCTGGAACAAACATAGATATATTATATATTTATTGAAACAGGATTTAAGGAGGATTTGAAAGATAGTAGAATATACGGTTAGTGTCATTTAAAATACATAAGTAGGTACTTAGATTTTTAAATTTTCAGATTTTGGGATGCCCATTGGTTTGTTTGACAATTCTGGAAGATGATACGAAGGAACCATGCAACTTTTGCTTTAAAAGTTTTTTTCTTAT